ATACTTATGAAAATATTAAGACAGTACTTATTGCAATATCTGTGTTTGTGAAACTGAGAAATTTTCTACTGTGTGTGCATTTGTTCTTATGTTTTGTAAAATTGGAATAATACCATAAGATACAGCTTTATGTCCAGATGGTGATATTTTTCCTAATATTATTTCACGATATTGTTCACACCACTATGTTGTCTTTTACCCAGGCCACACAACAGCCACCGAGTTCCTGAGCACCCTCCAGCCAAGACAAGCAAAGTCTTTTTCCAAATTATAACTTATGTTAATAGACACTCAGAAAATTAATTTTAAAATTTGCAATGGTCAAAATGCATTTCCACTTTTTCAGCCCTCAGTTGTGATGGAATTAAAAGTTTCTATTGTCCTTCTAATTAAGTGAAGGATTAGAATCAAGCAATTGCAGTTTTCATTTTCCTGAGTACAGCTGACATCAGTCCTACTCCCCTTCCCCCACACCTGGAAGAACTAGTACTGATTTTCTCCTTGTGATTTTATGGATTTCAAGGAGGAACACAGATCTTCTCTACAAATAATAACCACAGGACTCACCTCACTGCAAATTTCTTCAACATTAGTGCAGATCTTGAGATCTTCAGAATTGTAGGAATCAACGTTTGTTTTGAGTAGAGAGATAAATCAGTAAAGCTCTCAGAAACTGAGCTGCAGGATGTTATAATCTTCTGAAATGCTAAGAAAATGAAGTGTTCACAAAGACAACAAGGAGAAAAGGCCTTGGATAAAGTCACTTAATAACGACTAATGCTGGCTGTTTCACACTGTGCTACTGCCCCAGGAAAGAGGAGTTGCGAAACAATGTTGAGGCTCCACCCATCAACGTTCTTAACTTTCGGTTCTGATTCTCTCAGTCAGGGAAAATAACCAACTTCCTTCCTGTAATTATCTTTACTAAAATAAAAGGGGAAAGGGTAGAGAGGGGAGTGGATGATGACAAATTGCTTAATGGGTACACTGTATATTATTTGGGTGATATAATAAAAGTCCTGG